ACATCATTCAAGCTTTTACCATTTGAAGTTTTATTAGAGGCATTAAAAACCACCCGTAATTTGGTACTTTGTTTCTCTGGATTAATTACTGCATGGTGAGGCAAATAGCAAACCGTAGAGTTTGCGGAAGGGATTGAAACTGATTTCATGTGATCTAAATCTATATATTCCCTAACGACCCCATCATATATTTGTTTAATATTTGGTTTTTTAAGCAGAGAAGCCTTATTTCGAATGAATTGTCGTAGACAATTTGCTCTAGAATGGCCAAGATAAGGTTGACCAAATAATTCTGGTTTTATGGGAAGAGTGACAATATATCTGCCATTAGAATATTAGTATTTTTATCATTTTCCTCACAGTATTTGTCGGCAGGAGACAAGATTGAGCGCTTTGGAACTTCTTCCAGTTCCCAAAATCGAAGAAGTGTCTTGTTAAGAGCATCTTCTTCAGAATATGCTACATTAGTAGAAAATACTCTGATGTTGCTAGCAGAAATGGGACCAGTAATGATCCAGCCGAACACAGTATTTTGCGCAATTAAAGAACCCAAAATATTAGATTGCATTCCCTGTAAGAGACTTTTAGGATAAATATCAGCACCTAATAACATATCAACTGGTCTACAGTCGAATAATTGGGTGTCAGCCAAACGTAGATTTGGCAACCTGGAAGAAAATTCAGTACTAACAACAAAGAATGGAAGATTTCCAGATATGGTAGAAACTACCAACGCTGTAATTTTCATAAGTACTGAACTATTTATGGATGAAGAAATACCAAAAGAACACAGTTTCCTCGACAATGTTGAAACAGTTTGATTAACACCAGAAACAGTTGCTTGAGTGGAAGTTGTAGTAATACCCAAACGCTGTTGTAATTAAGGCAGGAGCTGGATACGTTATACCCTGATGAACAATATTCACCATAGCTGTGCCCAAGAGAACTGTCCTATTTTGTGACGTATGAAACACCTGTCTATTTACGGAACTAGATTGTTGGCCAGAAGACGTAGATGGAAGATTCGGGTTAAAATTGGCAGTTTCTGGTAGACGAGGAGCAGGAGCAGAACCGGACGGGCCGTGAGAGGATGGTGGTACATTATTTGCAGATCTGGAAACTTGAAAAGCTTCCCGGTGTAGCAAAGTGTGATGTCTTCGATTACACTTAGCACAACTATGAGTGCTGCTACAATTTTTTACATCATGACCCCTGGAGAGGCAATTAATGCAACAATGATGGCGTTTAACTATAGATAAACGATCTGAAAGAGAACGATTTCTGAACTCGGGACATGATCTTAAATGATGAGATTGCGATGGACATAACACACAAGTTTTTTTCAGGAGACGAACGATTTGAATTGGCAGAATTAGTAGAACGAGAACTGGCAGCATTTGTAAAATGTGCCCGAACCTTTTTATTATCAACCTTCTTGGAATCAGCTATACCTTTGATATCAGGCAAGTTAATGTCTGAACTCTTTCCGTAAGAAAATTGTTCAGATCATTCCAAGATGATAGCGCTGACTTATTCTTGACGCTTTGTTCCCACAGTGTAACGGTTTGTTGGGGAAGTCTTTGCAGAGTAAGTCAATTCAACAATAAGAAGAACGTAGTTCTTCGGAATTGTCAAAAAACAATGCAAAAAAAGTATTAAAATTGCGAATATTACAAAAAAATTCAACAATAATTTTTCTCAGTGTAGCGAAAATACACTAAAAGTTAGCTCAGTGTATTGGAGCGAACACAAATTTTTATAAATTTTAGAAAAATCTCGTAGAAGAATTAAAAAATCCTGCAAAAATAACCAAACTTTCGCAAAAAATTACGTTTTTTCTCAAAAATAGCAATTTTAGTTAAAAATGCCGATCACGGACTGTATCGACAGCGACAAGCAGTTAACAAAAAATTGCGAAATAAATTTCCAAAAATTGAGAAAAAAAACTTGTAAAATATTTTATATATATTAATATATTATAAAATAATCGATAAATATTTTAAAATAATCGATATTACCGAATGTAGGGTGTACGAAAATTATTTAGTTTTTCCACAAAAATATTTATTAAATATTATTCTTATATCGTATTTTATACTTTCAAAACGACGAAAACGGAGTAAACATTAAAATTAATATATTCTTGTGTAAACATATTAGGATGTTGTAACTAAAATACAATACATAATTCCATTATTTTTTTTTTTTCGTTTTTTTTTTCAAATTCAATTCGTTTTTATCTTCAATTTCTTTATTTTTAATTCAATTCATTTTTTCAAACAACATTGTGTAACACTATATGTTACATATGCCCGACAATACCCAACCAAATATGGTGTAGTGGGCTATCGGTAACCCTGGCGTCGCATGCACCCTATGTGTTACGACCTTGGCATAGACTTCCGGCCCGAGTACCAGGGCCACCCGGCCAGGCCTACTAAAATCGGGATCTGCCAAAGGAAGACCAAGAAAGGAGTCTTTAATGCGCTCTGGGATTGCCGCTGTAGGCGTACGCGCATGGTCCAGATGGGTCACCACTGCCACAATTGACAAGGACTGACTCCGGTCGTATATCGAGGTGAGATTAAGCCTACATATATGGCTACCATCGATTCTAGAAGTAGGGATACGAAGACTATGCACCAGAGGGGAGCATATCTGACTCTGCCTACTACATTGGTCCAATACCGCCCTCACGACAGAGGGACGGCCGAAAGCATCAACTTTGACTAACAAAGTCGGAGAAATGCAGATACCAGACTGGAGGGACAACAAGCCGGCCAGTCCTACCTGCGAGGGGGAAGCATTTTCAGTCGGACGATAGTGTAACGCCCAAAAGTCATGCTTTCGTTTTTGGGGTACATTATTATTTTAAATACCATTTTTACTTACGTCCCCTAGTAGAAAGAAGTATACTTAAAATACAACATTGGAACCCCTGGTGGCAAATGGCGGAACTACGCAAAACTGTCAGATTGGGATCAGCTGCTGTCATGAGAAAACAACAATCGTTGTCCAGCCAAAAAGGTATAAAAGGAGACGCATTTCACACAATCGGGATCAGTCTTCTGTTGATGGCTGGTAAGTCAAGTGTGATTGGGAGGAAGAAAAGGCGCGCAACCTCGGTTGAATTGAGTCTTAGTAAGCCAAACAATAAGCCTTGACTATTTGTGGAGACTGGACTGGACTGATCGCAGGGTCAAGTGAGGGTTGTAGCAATACTCCCTATTCTTCGGGCTGCGTTGACGGCGACTGAACGCAGGGTCAAGTGAGGGTTGTAGCAATACTCCCTATTCTTCGGGCTGCGTTGACGGCGACTGAACGCAGGGTCAAGTGAGGGTTGTAGCAATACTCCCTATTCTTCGGGCTGCGTTGACGGCGACTGAACGCAGGGTCAAGTGAGGGTTGTAGCAATACTCCCTATTCTTCGGGCTGCGTTGACGGCGACTGAACGCAGGGTCAAGTGAGGGTTGTAGCAATACTCCCTATTCTTCGGGCTGCGTTGACGGCGACTGAACGCAGGGTCAAGTGAGGGTTGTAGCAATACTCCCTATTCTTCGGGCTGCGTTGACGGCGACTGAACGCAGGGTCAAGTGAGGGTTGTAGCAATACTCCCTATTCTTCGGGCTGCGTTGACGGCGACTGAACGCAGGGTCAAGTGAGGGTTGTAGCAATACTCCCTATTCTTCGGGCTGCGTTGACGGCGACTGAACGCAGGGTCAAGTGAGGGTTGTAGCAATACTCCCTATTCTTCGGGCTGCGTTGACGGCGACTGAACGCAGGGTCAAGTGAGGGTTGTAGCAATACTCCCTATTCTTCGGGCTGCGTTGACGGCGACTGAACGCAGGGTCAAGTGAGGGTTGTAGCAATACTCCCTATTCTTCGGGCTGCGTTGACGGCGACTGAACGCAGGGTCAAGTGAGGGCTGTAGCAATACTCCCTATTCTTCGGGCTGCGTTGACGGCGACTGACGTACTCATCGGGCTGCTGCTGTGCCAAAGCTGCCGCCACCCGATTCGTCGTGCGCGTATTCATCAGGCCGCCGCTGTGCCAAGCTGCCGCCACTACTACTCGCCGCTGACGTATTCATCGGGCCGCCGCTGTGCCAAAGCCGCCGCCACCCTATTCGCCGCTCGCCTATTCATCGGGCCGCCGCTGTGCCAAAGCCGCCGCCACCCTATTCGCCGCTCGCGTATTCATCAGGCCGCCGCTGTGCCAAGCTGCCGCCACTACTACTCGCCGCTGACGTATTCATCGGGCCGCCGCTGTGCCAAAGCCGCCGCCACCCTATTCGCCGCTCGCCTATTCATCGGGCCGCCGCTGTGCCAAAGCCGCCGCCACCCTATTCGCCGCTCGCCTATTCATCGGGCCGCCGCTGTGCCAAAGCCGCCGCCACCCTATTCGCCGCTCGCGTATTCATCAGGCCGCCGCTGTGCCAAGCTGCCGCCACTACTACTCGCCGCTGACGTATTCATCGGGCCGCCGCTGTGCCAAAGCCGCCGCCACCCTATTCGCCGCTCGCCTATTCATCGGGCCGCCGCTGTGCCAAAGCCGCCGCCACCCTATTCGCCGCTCGCCTATTCATCGGGCCGCCGCTGTGCCAAGCTGCCGCCACTACTACTCGCCGCTGACGTATTCATCGGGCCGCCGCTGTGCCAAAGCCGCCGCCACCCTATTCGCCGCTCGCCTATTCATCGGGCCGCCGCTGTGCCAAAGCCGCCGCCACCCTATTCGCCGCTCGCCTATTCATCGGGCCGCCGCTGTGCCAAAGCCGCCGCCACCCTATTCGCCGCTCGCCTATTCATCGGGCCGCCGCTGTGCCAAAGCCGCCGCCACCCTATTCGCCGCTCGCCTATTCATCGGGCCGCCGCTGTGCCAAGCTGCCGCCACTACTATTCGTCGCTCGCCTATTCATCGGGCCGCCGCTGTGCCAAGCTGCCGCCACTACTATTCGTCGCTCGCCTATTCATCGGGCCGCCGCTGTGCCAAAGCCGCCACCACCCTATTCGTCGCTCGCCTATTCATCGGGCCGCCGCTGTGCCAAGCTGCCGCCACTCTATTCGTCGCTCGCCTATTCATCGGGCCGCCGCTGTGCCAAGCTGCCACCACGGCTACCCGTTTATTAACATTTCGACTGAACTTTGTGATTTAGTGTTCTTCGTAAAAAGTTCTGAACGTGATTTTATTGTGTTTAGTGTAGTGTTTAGTGTTATTTAAGGAAATAAATTTATAACGTTTTAAGAAAATATTTTTGCTTCGCTCTCTCTCTCTCTTTATGTCCTAACAAATAAATTTTTGTGACGACTCTGGCCCCCGCTGAACCTACCCCAGCTTCAAAGTGAAAACGCGTCGTCACAATGGCGCCCGAGCAGGGACTATAAAAGAGAGAAAGAATAAATAAATGAGTGAACAATAATTAGACAAATACAGATGAAAACCCAGTGAAAAAAAAAAAACAGTTAAAAAAAAAAAAAAAAAAAAAAAATGTCAAACGAAAAGACAATGTTGAAGGTCTCCTGGGCCTATATGCTAAAGCAAGAAGACTTGGTAACATATCTTACTGAATTCAATCTTGATCCAGTTGGAAAAGTGGACGATCTCCGAAAAAGATGGGCTAAATTTCTCCACAACGACCATGAAGCCGATGTATACAGACGGCTTATAGAGTTGCAGAACAAACATGAAAGTACCAGTCCGACCAAATCGCCGACATTGCGAGCCGTCACAAAACAACCCCTTATAACCGTAACACCGTGTGGAGCAGAAGCAATAGTATTATCCCCAATAAAAACAGAGTACGCCCTTCCCCACATTTCCGCGGAAAGGTCACATGGAGAGTCAAGCACAGGGGTAACAAACGATCAAAAAGTACAGAAGATGTCGCCAACAAACCCCGAATATGGATTTCAAAAAGATTCTCCGCCCAAGCCATCCAATAATTCGTCGTTACTCGTAATTCTCGACCAAATCCGAAAATGGAATATTACTTTTGAAAATGGTATGGACCCTATTGGATTCGTAGAACGTGTAGAAGAAATGGCTGAAATGTACATCGTGGAATTGAATCAAATAATTAAAGTAATGCCAGAGTTGTTACGAGGTAAAGCTTTAATCTGGCTAAGGAACAACAACCGACACTGGACTACCTGGAACGAATTTAAGAGTGATTTTCTGAAATTCTTTTTGCCACCGAGATACTTTGAGAAATTGGAGGATGAAATTAGGAGAAGGATACAGCGTAATAAGGAGCCGTTTAAGGAATATGTACTCTCTATACAGCATCTTATGCAGCACACCAATATGACCGAAGAACAAAAATTGGAACGAATTTTTAGAAACGCGCATTCGGATTATCAATGGTACATTCGCCGTAAAGACTTTACCACACTTTCGGAATTGATCTCCTTGGCAGACGAACTCGAAAGCATACCAAATAATTCTCGGTCAGAACAGCCTCGAAATCAACAAAACTATAATCGACGTGCGGACAACTCTAGAAATAACCTGTATTGCACCAATCAAGGTGACCAAGTGCTAAACGAAAGCTCATCCAATCCAGAAACGCAGCAGGATGAACCCCCGGCAAAGAAGAGTAACCAGAATATTACATCATTGCAATGTGAAGAATATCGCCTTACTGCAACTGTCTTAATAGAGGGGAAAGCTATTAAAGCAACTGTCGACACTGGTGCCACTAGCTGTTTTATAAAAAGAGAATTTGCGGAAAAAATCAAGAAAAGGTTTACTTATTCACGGCATGAGGCAAATGTTATCCTCGCAGACGGCACCACGGTGAACATCACAAGATCAACAGTGTTACCTGTTACATTTGGAAACCAAAGCTCAGATGTTACATTTCTCATCATGCCGCAATTCAAGGAAAACATCATATTGGGATTGGAATTTCTAAAACAGTTCCACACGACCATTCACTGCGCCGGTATAAGTGTCAAATTAAGTAAGCCAACCACATCAACGGAGCATTGTACCGTGGCTATAGGAGAGGAAACCCCATCAAAAGAGGTAATAGATACAATGACAGCTACGAATAATGTATCCCCCAGACCTAAATTCTTAAACGATGAATTGAGTAAAACGCAATGTGAGATCGTTGAAAATTTTCTGGCACAGGAACTCCCTAAGTTCCAACAATTAAATGGCCTATCGTCAATAGCTGAACATAAGATTGTAATGACCGACGATCGACCCATTAAATTAAGATATGCTCCGCGAAATCCTGCAATGCAAGCCGTGATTAATGCCGAAGTGAGAAAGCTCGAAGAACGAGGATGTATAGAGCCGTCTACAAGCCCATACTGTTTCCCCATCACATTAGTCAGAAAGAAAAATGGGAATTGGAGAACTTGTATGGATTTTCGCCAATTGAATAAACGTTCTGTTCCAGATGCCTACCCTTTACCCCGCATCGACACAATACTGAATCGACTACGGGATGCCAAATACGTGAGTAGCCTGGACCTTAAAGACGGATATTGGCAAATACCTATGGCGAAGGAGAGCAGAAAATACACGGCCTTTGCGGTAGCTGGTAAAGGTCTATATCAGTGGAAAGTGATGCCTTTCGGTTTGCATTCAGCACCGGCAACCTTCCAACGGGCATTAGATAGTGTGATTGGGCCTGAAATGGACCCCCACGCTTTTGCATACCTTGACGATATCATCGTCATTGGAAAAACGTTTGAGGAACACTTGCGGAACTTGAGAGAAGTGTTCAGAAGATTGCGATCAGCTAACCTGAGAATAAACATTGAGAAATGCGAATTTTTCAGAAAAGAAACGAAGTATTTAGGCCATGTTGTGAGTAGCGAGGGAATAAAGACGGATCCAGATAAAGTTGCCGCAATAGTGGAAATGAAACCTCCAACATCGGTAAAGGAGGTACGAAGATTTCTTGGAGTAGCATCTTGGTACCGAAGATTTGTCCCACAGTTTGCAACAATTTCACAACCATTGACTAGTCTTCTTAAAAAGGGAAAACACTGGAAATGGGGTCCCGAACAACAAGAAGCATTCTCAGACCTAAAAGCAAAGTTAACTGAAGCCCCCGTTCTGGCTTGTCCGGATTTCACAAAGACGTTCATATTGCAAACTGATGCCAGCAACTATGGCCTTGGAGCAGTTCTAACACAGGAGTTAGATAACGTGGAACGTGTCATAGCCTACGCCAGCAGACATTTAAAACAGGCTGAAAAGAACTACTCAGCGACTGAAAAGGAATGTCTAGCCATACTGTGGGGCATTAGACACATGAGACCCTATTTAGAGGGTTACCAGTTTATAGTTATTACCGATCATTTGGCCCTAAAATGGTTAAATTCTATTGAAAGCCCTACAGGTCGACTCGCACGTTGGGCTCTCGAGCTACAGCAATATAATTTTTTGATCAGATACCGTAGAGGAAAACAGAACGTTGTGGCGGATGCGCTTTCGAGAACACCTTTGGAAACGTTAGACCTAGCCACAGTAAAATATGACACCAGTCCGTGCCCATGGCTAGAAAAGTTGAAGGAAACCATAACCAAGAATCCGAAGAAGTATCCAGACTATACAATCATTGAGGGAAATGTTTATCGACATTTTCCCAAGCAAATAAACGATGAAGATTGCACACCATGGAAGCTGTGTGTGCCCACCGGATCAAGGATTCAGGTCCTTAGAGAAAATCATGACAGTGTCACCGGAGGTCATTTGGGAGTGCGAAAGACTAGCAACAAGGTGGCGAACCGATATTTTTGGCCTGGTATGTTCCAGGACATCAAACGTTATGTCCAGCAGTGCGAATGTTGCCAAAAATATAAAGTCAGCCAACAGAAACCAGCAGGGGAAATGTTGATAAGAATCCCGGAGGAACCATGGGCCACTATTTGTGCGGACTTCGTAGGACCCCTACCGCGATCTAAGCACGGTAACTCAATGCTACTCGTTATTATGGATAGATTCTCAAAATGGACGGAGTTGGTTCCATTGCGGAAGGCTACGACAGAGGGCTTAATAAAGGCATGCAGAGAAAGAATTATTTCTAGATATGGGGTTCCAAAAATATTGATAACCGATAACGGAACCCAATTCACTAGCAACCAATTCGAAAAATTCCTAGCAGAAATGGGTATAAAGCATCAACTTACGGCTCCTTACACCCCGCAAGAGAACCCTACTGAAAGGACAAATCGGACAGTGAAAACAATGATAGCACAAGTTTCGAAACAACATAATACATGGGACGATATGCTGCCCGAAATAATGTTAGCCATAAACACTAGTGCATCAGAATCCACTGGATATTCGCCGGCATACCTGACACAAGGAAGAGAACCGCGACTGCCCCAGGCATTATATGATCAGCTCACAACAGGAACTGGTGCTAGAATAGTCTTACCAGAAGACCGTGCCCAGGAGTTGAAAGAAATATTTAAGATAGTGCGTCGAAACTTGGCAAAAGCATCTCAAAACCAGCGGAGACAGTACAACCTTAGACGACGAGTTTGGAAACCAAAGATTGGGGAGCAAGTTCTAGTTCGTCTACATCCTCAGTCGAAGGCCGTCGAAAATTTCGCCGCCAAACTAGCGCCCAAATACGGAGGGCCGTTTGTCGTACAAAAATTCCAATCTCCAGTAATCGTTGTAGTCCGAGGAAAAGACAACATCACCCGCGTCGCGCACTTAAGTGAAATTAAGCCTTTTTATGAAGAACAAAATTAAATTGTAGACATAGAAGTAGAATGTTGATTGTAGTTCCACTTACGTTTATGTGATGCCATTTCATTATAATTTCTTATTTTATTTTTAGACATTAAATTGACAATACCCAAACTAATCAGTGTCCTAATATAAGCCCATACTTCAAAGACCATCGCAATTCTCAAAATTTCAACATCACGATGGAGCAAGATAGCCCCAACACGAAAAAATTCAAACGGGCGAAGGAGAAATTTCGAGCTCATCTGGAACAAGTCGAGGCTCAAAGGCGAAGGACAATATTTTTAGACGAAGGTCCTAGTACCAGCCGAAAGAGGAGAACAAATCAATACCGTAAGCCCAAAACAAGATGGCAAGCAGTACCGCATAATAATATCAGCAGACGGGGTAGTGAAGGTATCTCTCCGAACTTCTGCAATTGGTCTCTAACATACCTTCCTATTCGACCGAGATATAGTCGAACAAAAGTGCCCATGTCGGAGAAATAAAAGGTTACATAACACCCTAGGGCTTCCTGGCTATTGAAACCCAATAGCAATAGAGAAAGCAAATCAAGGAATCAAAAATCAGAGGGAGGAAGAGATGCCATGTAACGCCCAAAAGTCATGCTTTCGTTTTTGGGGTACATTATTATTTTAAATACCATTTTTACTTACGTCCCCTAGTAGAAAGAAGTATACTTAAAATACAACATTGGAACCCCTGGTGGCAAATGGCGGAACTACGCAAAACTGTCAGATTGGGATCAGCTGCTGTCATGAGAAAACAACAATCGTTGTCCAGCCAAAAAGGTATAAAAGGAGACGCATTTCACACAATCGGGATCAGTCTTCTGTTGATGGCTGGTAAGTCAAGTGTGATTGGGAGGAAGAAAAGGCGCGCAACCTCGGTTGAATTGAGTCTTAGTAAGCCAAACAATAAGCCTTGACTATTTGTGGAGACTGGACTGGACTGATCGCAGGGTCAAGTGAGGGTTGTAGCAATACTCCCTATTCTTCGGGCTGCGTTGACGGCGACTGAACGCAGGGTCAAGTGAGGGTTGTAGCAATACTCCCTATTCTTCGGGCTGCGTTGACGGCGACTGAACGCAGGGTCAAGTGAGGGTTGTAGCAATACTCCCTATTCTTCGGGCTGCGTTGACGGCGACTGAACGCAGGGTCAAGTGAGGGTTGTAGCAATACTCCCTATTCTTCGGGCTGCGTTGACGGCGACTGAACGCAGGGTCAAGTGAGGGTTGTAGCAATACTCCCTATTCTTCGGGCTGCGTTGACGGCGACTGAACGCAGGGTCAAGTGAGGGTTGTAGCAATACTCCCTATTCTTCGGGCTGCGTTGACGGCGACTGAACGCAGGGTCAAGTGAGGGTTGTAGCAATACTCCCTATTCTTCGGGCTGCGTTGACGGCGACTGAACGCAGGGTCAAGTGAGGGTTGTAGCAATACTCCCTATTCTTCGGGCTGCGTTGACGGCGACTGAACGCAGGGTCAAGTGAGGGTTGTAGCAATACTCCCTATTCTTCGGGCTGCGTTGACGGCGACTGAACGCAGGGTCAAGTGAGGGTTGTAGCAATACTCCCTATTCTTCGGGCTGCGTTGACGGCGACTGAACGCAGGGTCAAGTGAGGGTTGTAGCAATACTCCCTATTCTTCGGGCTGCGTTGACGGCGACTGAACGCAGGGTCAAGTGAGGGCTGTAGCAATACTCCCTATTCTTCGGGCCGCCGCTGTGCCAAAGCCGCCGCCACCCTATTCGCCGCTCGCCTATTCATCGGGCCGCCGCTGTGCCAAAGCCGCCGCCACCCTATTCGCCGCTCGCGTATTCATCAGGCCGCCGCTGTGCCAAGCTGCCGCCACTACTACTCGCCGCTGACGTATTCATCGGGCCGCCGCTGTGCCAAAGCCGCCGCCACCCTATTCGCCGCTCGCCTATTCATCGGGCCGCCGCTGTGCCAAAGCCGCCGCCACCCTATTCGCCGCTCGCCTATTCATCGGGCCGCCGCTGTGCCAAGCTGCCGCCACTACTACTCGCCGCTGACGTATTCATCGGGCCGCCGCTGTGCCAAAGCCGCCGCCACCCTATTCGCCGCTCGCCTATTCATCGGGCCGCCGCTGTGCCAAAGCCGCCGCCACCCTATTCGCCGCTCGCCTATTCATCGGGCCGCCGCTGTGCCAAAGCCGCCGCCACCCTATTCGCCGCTCGCCTATTCATCGGGCCGCCGCTGTGCCAAAGCCGCCGCCACCCTATTCGCCGCTCGCCTATTCATCGGGCCGCCGCTGTGCCAAGCTGCCGCCACTACTATTCGTCGCTCGCCTATTCATCGGGCCGCCGCTGTGCCAAGCTGCCGCCACTACTATTCGTCGCTCGCCTATTCATCGGGCCGCCGCTGTGCCAAAGCCGCCACCACCCTATTCGTCGCTCGCCTATTCATCGGGCCGCCGCTGTGCCAAGCTGCCGCCACTCTATTCGTCGCTCGCCTATTCATCGGGCCGCCGCTGTGCCAAGCTGCCACCACGGCTACCCGTTTATTAACATTTCGACTGAACTTTGTGATTTAGTGTTCTTCGTAAAAAGTTCTGAACGTGATTTTATTGTGTTTAGTGTAGTGTTTAGTGTTATTTAAGGAAATAAATTTATAACGTTTTAAGAAAATATTTTTGCTTCGCTCTCTCTCTCTCTTTATGTCCTAACAAATAAATTTTTGTGACGACTCTGGCCCCCGCTGAACCTACCCCAGCTTCAAAGTGAAAACGCGTCGTCACAATAGTAAGGACTATGACGCGAACGGTGCCTATAATCCGTATGCGGACGACGCCGACTATTACTTGTGGGTTTAACCACGGTCTTCGAATCGACGTGAAGAAGAGTGTGGTGATCTTCGTTGCATACGGCACACTTTCTTTTACTTTGATAGTCCCTGGCTTGGTGGTTCGCTAAACACCGTATGCAATCATTAAATTTAACAACAACTCTACGACGCATGTCAACATTCATGACGCGGAAGTCGCCACATCTATCCAAAGGGTGCATGCGGTCACAAAGGCGACATTTATGGGAGGCCGCAGATGAGTCCCGAGAGGATTCTCACCTACTAGATTTGGCCGACTCCTCCAACGAGTGAGGAGTGGCAACCGGAGCCGCAAATGGACCCGAAGATCCGGACTCGGTTCGCGATTTTTCAATTTGGAGGTTATCGGCAGGGACCGGAGCAGCAGATGAATCTACAGATATGGATTCGGACTCGGTTTGCATCAATTCGACAGTAGAGGCGAGGGCCGCAGATGAATCCGACTTGTTCGATTCGGACCCAGGCTCAGATATTTTTACAGCTCCAATGGGTTCCACAAGAGCAGCTTCAGCGGCAGCCGTCAATACCGTCATCAACGTTAAAAAGCTCATCTTCCGAATATACTTTCATCGACATACTAGATAATGAGAAGAGAATTATTTAATTACTTATCAAAGGGTCGTCGGCCAGAACGACCAACTTGGCGATGGGCCGTCTTACAACGCCGTTCTCGGTTCGGACGTCCGCGACTCGAACGTGACCGTCAGTTCCCGGATGAACATTTACGACACGGCCTAAATTCCACGACGTTGGCGGAAGCTGGTCATGACGAACAACAACTAGATCGTCTATGCTAACTCGCACTCTGGAAATTTCCATTTATACCTCATGTGTAAATGTTTCAAATATTCCTCTTTCCACCTGAAACTAAACTGGTGGGCGAGGGCCTGAACTTTCCTAGACCGATTAACGAAGCTTAATGGTTGCTCTGTAATGAGAGGTTCAGGCGGTGCTAACAAAGGGAGAACCGTGCGACTTCGGACAAAAACTTTTCCAATCAGCCTCAGTAGCTGTTAAAAGTTAATCATCTTCGCTGTAACAATAATTGGGGGATCAAACAATTTCGCAAAAGCTGAAAGAACTTCCCTCTTAGTTTAACTGGGGTTATTAACTGTAGAGTTAACTGCAAAGTAGACAAAAATCTAAAATCAAATTTCACTTAACGCCCACAGGTTTGTGACTACTACCTCCAACATACGATAATAATTGAGCGTCAACCAAAAGCTCAGGGGGGATCGATCTATAAATGCTCTATTATTGGTGGTCCTGTGCTGCTGGTATAGGGCCCGTGACAAGCCAGCCGAACACTGAGTTTTGAGCCAGTAAAGCTCCAGACAAAATCGAACGACAACCATCTAAAACAATATTGGGGTAAAGATAAAGTTGGAGTCGAATTACCCAATGTAAAATCTTCCCGATGCAACAATGTATGATGTGCCTTATTGCACTTCGAACAACGACGTTTGCTATCACATTTCTTTACTTCATGATCGTTACGAAGACAGTTCATGCAAAGATGATGGCGTTTTATTACTTTATACCGATCAACGGGTTTTAAGCTCTTAAAGCGGGGACAGTCATACAATTTATGACGTTGATTTCGACAAATGACACAATTTGAATTTTTCGAAGCGCTAGGAGAAGAAGGCGATCCTAATACATTAATATGCGAATGATGCGCTTGAACTTGTCTATTACAAAACCGTTTAGACTGATCGGTGCCACGCATGTCATAATGACACATGAGCGTACGAATTCTCTCAGCGAGAAAAGCATCCAAGTCCTTCCAAGACGAAAGAGAGGATTTATCCTGTACACTTTGCTCCCAAAGGGTCTGAGTAAGTTTTTGCAGTCGTTAGAGACACAAAAATACAAGAATCGGATCCCAATTTTGAGATTTAACATCGTAAATTGCCATCGAAGTTAAAAAACCATTTATACCGCTTTGGATCGTCTTTAATCCTGAACTAGTCTCACTATAGAGAACAGGAATATCGAATAAAACCTTTAACTGGTTATAAACAAGAAGTCGACGATTGTCATAAGTTTCGATCAAAGCCTTCCAAGCCGGCGCGAAACTACGATTAGTTAGTGGAAACTTTGACACTATCTCGCGAGCTTCCCCTGTCGTCTTCCGGACCAAATGTCGCTTAGACGAGCATTATTGATGTACACAGCGGTAAACAAATCCCTAAAGGTTGGCCATGAGTGGAAATCGCCGTTAAAAACATCTGTGTCACAAGGCGGCAGAGCTAGATTATGTACAACATCTGAATTTGAAACAAAATCTAAAGTTCGAAAACTCGCACTACTATTCCCCACAATAGAGGTAAGCGGAGTCTGAATCTGCGAAGCCTAATTCGAAACATTCAATTGGTTTCGCGTTTCAACCGACGTTTTCGGCATAACAGGATTCGGTGATTTTTCTAGGGTTTCACCCGGGGTTTCTAACAACGACGCTACCGAACCACTAACGCTTTACCAACTCAAACTCAAAATTTTCCAAAAAATCGTCCAAATTTGTTAAATGTTCAAGGAACGTATGCCAAGAATTTACCAAAACAGCACTATAGGGCCAAAAAACTTGAGAACTTTCGCGAAGTAATTGCCTTGAACTTCTCACACTATAGTGAAAAATCAAAATTTGAACTCTAAATTTCAAAATTATAATCTAAAATTAGATATTTAGCACCCGATAATAAGGTACCACGAAAAATGTGAAGAAATCAATAAATAAATATAAAATTTTCAAAAAATATATCAATAAATATATATCCAAATTATCAAATTTTCTAAAAATTGTATATTTTACCGGTAATTTTCCAAAAAACCGTATTTTCGCGCACAAAAAATTTAAAATATTTTAGTTTTTACTATTTCTAACGAAAATATATAGATTATTTCAATTTTATTTTAAAAGTTACCTACAATTTAGGGAGATTATCATTCAGAACGTAGCGTGATTTTTCAAAAAATATTGACCAAATACAAAATTTTCGAATAAAATCTCCAAAATTAATTAAAAATTTCAAATTCCGCACGAAAAATATCAATTTTAACACTTTTTACTCAAAAAGTCGTATTGACCGATCGTAGGGTGCACGCGTTATTTATTTTTTCGAAGACGTCGTTTTATTACATAATAATTATTCCAAACCAAAATCAATTTTTTTCATATTTTATATTACAGGTCGTTTTATCACGGTTCACCTGTAATGCAACGGACGATAGAAAAATATCAAACGTTTGCACCAAACGTTTGTATGTATACGCTTATGTGTGGGCTGACCGATCAAGCAGTGATCATCAGCTATGTGCCTATTACTGCGTTTGTATGTTTGTATATCGATCGTTAGCGAACAACCAAACAAACCAATGTAATTGCTGCGTGTATTTTTTGGGGGTGATTTTTAATAAATATTTTAATTAGCAAAAATGCAAATTTGCAAAACATTTAACAATTTTTTAATTTCAAATATACCGATCGATAGGAAATTTAACGTACATTAAAATGACACCCGACAACAATATTTTATTTTCACTAGAAATGCCAAAAAATACACTTTTTTCACAATTATTTTGGTTTGTTTGTTTTCTATGATTTTTTTTCGAATGCCGACGGCAAAACAATATTTGCAAAACTAGATGGCGGGGGAACGGGGTACGCGACGCGTTGTAAAACGGCCACTGAACAAATTAATGACACGAATTATTGTTGTTTTACACAATTTTTTCGAAAATTCTTTCCTTAGAGAATATTGTTTATTTTTTCACAAGGCACTTTTTTCGCTTTACGTACCTTGTTGTTTTTAATGGAAACACGATTATGATGATGATAATGATGATGAC